AATTAAATCTACATAATTCGAGCATTGTCGCTTTATGCGATATTGTAAATTAATACTCCTATCCTAACATTCATCTCTTGTCTTCTCTATATGTACATTAGTCCTACACCCGCACCCGGAAGTTAATTCTTTTTGAGCTTTCAAATTCTTTTCATTTTTAATGCAAAAACAGTATTCTTCAAAGTAATGCTTCCTATAATTTTTATTATTATTCAGGGTTGACACAAAAAATTTAATTTTGTTTTTCCCTGATTTACAGACAAAATTTTGACTTTTTTCTTGATCCTAAAGAAAATTCTAAATTCACTCTAAAAATGATTAGATACTCAAAAAAATATTCTATTACATTTATTTACGAATTTCTTTAATTGCAAAATTATTCAAAAACATCAATAACTTCTTTTTTAAATAAATATTTCATTATTATTATTTTTCCGTAGAAATTAAGATTTTTAAAAATTTCAAATTCAAACCTTTTTGAAATTAACTTTAAAAAAAATTGTTATAAAACATGAAGAAATCGATCACTCCGAGTCTTCGACTCGGAGTAATCAATTTCTTCATGTTTTACAATAATTAAAGACGGCCGAGTGATAAAATAATTATTTTATATTATAAGAATTGTTACAGTAACATCATCAAAATTATTTTTATCATTTTAATTCAATTATTATTATCTAGAAATTTTTAACTCAAATTTTTTTTAAATCAATTATATTTAGTAATTTTTAAAAAAGTTCTTTTTTCAATTCAATTCAATTTTACTAAAAATTTCGATTATTTGGTAATTTTATTCTTTAATTGAATATACATTATAAAATAAAAACTTTAAATGATTTTAAAAAAATTAAATTAAACTTTTCCAAAAAAATTATTTCTACAGAATTGTTAATTGAAAAGTATGGAAAATTCAAATTTTCAAAGATTTTAATTTGAAAACTTTTCAAAATTTATGCTATAATGCTTTTAATATTCAATTATATCTAAAATTTTGGCTGAAATTGAATTTTAAATCAATTTTTATTAGAAAATTCTACGAGAATTCAATTATTTAAATACAAAAATAAATAATTTATTGAATAATTGAATTTTTCTTAAAATTGAATTCTCATAAAGAATTTTATCAACAAATTTTTAAATAATTGAATTCTTTTGACGAATTTTAATAAAATTTTTAAGAATAATTACATTTTTCGAGAAATTCGATTAAAATTGTATTAAAAATAATTGAAATTGTGCGATGAGTTTTATTATTTATAAAAATAATTCAATTATTGCAAAAACATTTTTAAAAAGTTTGTAAATAATTGAATTCCTGTAAAATTTTTATTATTGACAAACATATTTAAACGATTGCATAAAATTTTATCAAAATTGTTTTTAAAATAATTGAATCTTTTGGAAAATTTTATTAAAATAGTGGATATTGAAAATTATAGAAATTGAGGGAAATTTTTGAAAATAATTGAATTTCTGCAAATATTTGTAACTTCTCTAAAATTCAGTTATGTTAGTGTTTTTAACTAAAATTCTTCTATAAATCCATTTTTTTTAATAATTAATTAAATATATATTAAAAAATTTAAATAGTTTCATGAATTATTATTAAAATTTTTAAAAAATTTAAGTTTTTTAAAACTTTGAATTAAATTAATTAAAAATTGAAATTTTATAAAACTTCAAATTAAAACCTTTTGAAGTTTATCTATTTATGAAAATTACAAACGCAATTCTCTTAAAATTTAATTAATTTTAAAACATTTGATTAAAATTATTCATTAAATAATTTATTCTAAGTAATAATTTTATGATATAGATCTTCAAGAATTAAGTTATTAAAAAATAAATTATTGTCAGAAATAGAAAAAATTGAAAGTTTTGTATTATAATTCGTGGTAATTTAATACTTTATAAGGCAAACAAGAAAAACACCAAAATTCAGAATTTTCTTACGAATTCTAAAAATCTAATTTTTTCCAGTACCTTTAATAAAAATTCCTGACTTTTTCCTGATTTTCCTTATCAATTCTACTTTCCCTAACTTTTTCCTGAATTCCCTGACCTGTGTCAATCCTGTTATTACTATTATTATCATTATTATTCTCAATATTAATATAATTATTTTTCTTGATGCTACAAATTTTGTTTTACATCTCTTACAGCCTTAAACGTCAATATTATTATTAATATTACTAATTAATTATTTATTGTTTATTTTATTACATTATTTTTGTATTAATTTCTTCTTCAAAAAATACCAAAAAAATCATTCTTCACATTTAAATAAATAAAAAAATCGAATAGAAATATCAAAAGTATTTCTCAGGCTTTGCAATGTAGGCGCACATATTTTATAAATTAATAAAAGTTCATACACTATCGAGTGAGTTTAAAAGCGTTCCTTTAATAAGATTGCGTGTTGAACTTTTATTTTTCAAAATGCAATAGATATTACACTTTTGCGTATAAGAATATATTCTTGGATAAGCGCAGCACAGAACTAGTATTAGAGTGGATCGCATTTATCTTGAAAAACGGAAGGGAATCGAAGAAAAGAGAAGGAGTGAAAGAAAGAGAAAGAGCAAAATGCTGTAAAAAGGGAGAATGGAACACGGAAATATAATCACGAGTTGGTATAATTGTGTCTGTGTTGAGAAATGTACACGTAACACGTGCGGACGTTAAAATCTCCAGACGAAGGCAAAGGTCCAATGCACTATATGGAAGAATTAATATCCCAATAGTCGTGCGCATCATATCTTTTGAATTCCTCTATATATATATCGAATCGAATCGGATAAAAAAAAGGGAAAATGAAACAATTTTCATTTATAACGGACGGAAATATTTATACACTTGAAGAGAAAAATTACTAGCTATCCAGTTATAATCAGTTGTTTGATTATATATTATCAGGAAAAATTTTTTCAATCCAAATCAAACATCTATAATTTAAATTAATTTTTTTTAACTTAAATGCTTCAACTGAATAAAATAATACTATTACAAAAAAATACTGTCATCTGATTTTTATTTAACCCTTTTTTTAACCCTTTTTTTCTACCATTTAAAAAATTTGATATAATTCTTATAAATTTGAACCAATTATCAATTAATTTAGCTTGTTTTAATCACAAACGTTACTACTATTTGTAAAAAAGAAATAAAAAATTACATGGTACGATTATAATTATTATAAACATTAGGTACAATATTATTTATAAAAAAGCGAAATCTAATTTTTCAAAATTTCTTCAAATTCGATTCAAAACTTCGTTCTCAGGGGTTTTCAGGATCGCTGATTACAAATCTAAAGTCAGATTTTCAAAATTTTCAAAATTCAAAATGGTGGACATTTTTTTCAAATCTGAATTCGAATTCGCTTGAAACTTTTATGTTATTCGAATCTAACTTCAGATTCGTAATCAACGACCCCGAAAATTTCCGAGTAACAAGTTTTATGTAAATTTGAGCTATTTTGAAAAAAATGTCCGCCATATTGGATCCGACATTTTTAATTTTCAAAATTTTGAAAATCTGACTTTAGATTCGTAATCAGCGACCCCAAAGTGTTAGAAAAAGAAAATTTTATTTCAAACAATTGTTTTCTTATGAAAAATTATTCCTAAAAAATCATAATCATACATACATTAATGCTTCTAATATTTATTTCTTGTCTAAAATTTAACAAAAATTAATTTTTAAATTAATTCTTATATTAGAAAGCTCCGCGAGACTTCAATTACTTAAACATATAAAAAGAAATAATTTATTGAATAATTGAATATTTCTTAAAATTGAATTCTTTTACAGAATTGAATAATTTTGAATAATTTTAATCAAATTTTTAAGAATAATTGCATTTTTTGAGGATTTAATTTGAAATTGTATTAAAAATAATTGAATTCTTGCAATGAATTTTATTAAAAAAATTTTAAATAATTGAATTCCTAAGAAGAATTTTATTTGTTTTGAATATAATTGAATTCTTGCGAAGAATTTTATTATTTATGAAAACAATTGAAATTTTGCTAAGAGTTTTAATAAAATTTTTCTTTATTAATTGAACTCCCTTGAGAAATTTTCTTCTTTGTGAAAATAATTGAATTCTTATAAAGAATTTTATAATTTTGTATTTTACATAATTGAGTTCTTGTAAACATTTTTTTTTTAAATATTTGAATCGTTTGAAAGAATTTTATTAAAATTTTTGAGAATAATTTTTTTATTAAAATTGTAAGTAAATTTTTAAAGTAGTGTAAATTGAAAAAAAGAAAATAGAAAAAAATATCATTTAGTGTCACAAATCAAAAAAAGAATCCAAATAGTAGCAAGTCATAAAAAATAGTAGTAAATAGTAGGTTTTAGTTCTATCAAAGAATAGGGGATCTCTCGTTGAAAATAAATGACACAGGAAAGAAATAAATGGGAAATGAATTAATATGAGAATATATTCGATTAATGTGCATTATGAATGCACTCATCCCGAGTTAAAGGATTGAAAAGAAAAGAGAGGGAGTAAGTGGGTACAAGCAGGAAGATGGTTTCAGGAAAGGTAGGGAAGGAATGAAGATGAAGAATGGAGGTGCGTGAAGATCTCGGTTGTCAGTCGGTGGTCAACCGTCACGGAGGAAGGGCTCTTATGCCAGTTCGTTCTTTAAAATAAAAACAAGTGTTTCAAAGAAAAAAATTTAAAAACAAAATTTCCCAAACAAATTCAAACAGACAAAAAATCGTTCATTTTTAAATAAACTATGTAAATTTTCTTATAGAAGTAAAAATTTGCAAAACGATGCAATTATCGAAATAGGAAAAATATTAAACTATTTATATTTTATATTCAAAAATTACCTTATAATAAACTGATATTAAAAATACAGAAAATTATAAAAATATAAAAGTAATAAAAATAGGAAAAGAATGAAAATAAAGAACATTACAAAATAAAAAAAACATTAAAAAATAGATACTAAAAATTATAGAAAATAGTAAAAGAAATAAATATAAAAAACGACTCTAAAAAATTAAATTAATTTAAGGGTAAAATTAATTGAAGCTAAATTAACTTTTTCAAAAAGAAACAATAAGTTGAGACAATAAAAGAAGACTAGAATAAAGAATGTTATCAAGTGAAGTGCAAAACAATTATTCAAATATAAAAGTTAACATTTAATATGCAAATTTGATTGTGAGGAGTAGAAAAAAAGAATAAAGTGGTGAATAAAAAAAAAGGAGGGAGGCAGAAGCAAAAAGAATAAGGAATTCGTATTTCATGTTCAGTGTTGTAATGACGATTAGGATAATAGTCGGTGGGCAATTTCTAGCGTCATTCGCTCGCATCCGCAGCGTTACAAAGGAGCATTTTGAAGCGAGAGCTTCTTTATTGTGAGAGACGGAGAATTATGCATTTTGCTATGCGTGCTTTTAAGTTGAATGTTACGAGAGAAGAAAGAATCACGTAAAACAATCTTAAGTTGGATTTTGTGTGACATAAGAAGTGGACATTTCGAAACATGGCTTCTATGTGCGGAAGTAGCAAGAGTCATCCGACATTAACAACTAACAGCTTCTATCGGCCTGGCGCTTATCCTTATCAGGTAAGTTCATCGACATCGTATATATTATAAAGTTTCTTTTCTTTTATTTTTCAATGTCAAACCACTAATTTCATGTATATAATCCTTAATCACACATTAAGTGCATTTATCATCGTAATTCAGTATTAAATGGGGACAATGGGACAAATTGATATTTTCTTACCCCTTATAATATTTTTTTTGCAAATTTTTACTTTTATCCCTCCTACGCATTGTTTTCTTTTTATTTTCATTTTTTTTTCTACTCGCATTTCGATTAATAAATTTTAATTAGTAACGTTCACTAAATGACTTAGTAATCTTAACAAATGAATTAGTAATTTTCCATTACCAATTAGTAGTTTTTGAATAATTATTTATAGCTTACACATTCATTTAATAATGAGCAAATCGGCACTATTTCATTATCAAAAATGACTAATTCAGATTTAAAGAGTATTTTCTAAATTTAAATTTAATTAGTAAAAATGTTTACTAATTTTAATTAGTTAGTTTTTGAATTTGGCAATTTTACTAAAAAATTAGTAGAAATTACTGGGTCAGTCCATTGACTTTCGTCTGAGAGTCGTTGCGACCCTATTTTAAAAAATTCTAATTTTCATATATGTGAAACTCGATGATTTTCTGATTTCATTAATCATAATATTATGTTACAAATTTTATTTCGTTTAATAATATTCATTATCAAAAATAGGTTGTTCACGATGTGATTTCGTAACCTTAAATTTTGCAACTTTTTAAAAGACGTTATTATTCAAAAACTATTAAATATTAGGGGTTGGTACTTACCACAAATATAAATCTTTCCATTCTGCACGTTCTAATGACCAAAATGAACTAAAAATTCTATTATTTGTGGACGAAAATTGATTTTAAAAATTTTTTTATCCAAAAAAATTACACTTTTTGTTTCACTTACAACTTTTTTGTCGGACCTCAAAAAAATTTGGGGTTTTGCAAATATTTCTTTAAGAACATAATTTATCTTCTATTGAAATTTGATGAAGGTGTTTTTCTTCGTTCTCAAAATAATAATTATAAAAAATTTTGTTCAAAAAGGTTAATTATAATGCTTGAAATAAACAACAAGCATTGTTATTTTAGTGTCAATATCAAGTTCAAGTCTTAGAATTAACCTTTTTGCATACAAAATTTTTTATAATTATTATTTCGAAAACGAAGAAAAACACCTTCGCCAAATTTCAATAGAAGATAAATTATGTTCTTAAAGAAATATTTGCAAAATCCCAAATTTTTTTGAGGTCCGACAAAAAAGTTGTAAGTGATACAAAAAGCGTAATTTTTTTGGATAAAAAAATTTTTAAAATCAATTTTCGTCCACAAATAATAGAATTTTTAGTTCATCTTGGTCGTTACAACGTGCAGAATGGAAAGATTTATATTTGTGGTAAGTACCAACCCCTAATATTTAATAGTTTTTGAATAATAACGTCTTTTAAAACGTTGAAAAATTTAAGGTTACGAAATCACATCGTGAACCACCTACTTTTGATAATTAATGATAGATCGTCCAACGTCCTTCCGGCAGGACGAAAAAGACTCAGGTGAGTCCCTCCGAAATCACTAAAAAAAACTAACATGGATTCAGATAAATAAAAAATGAAATATATCATTGGAAAGGTAACGAAACAAGCTTTCAGCGCATATAAATATCGAGCTTGTAAGTTCAAAACTAAGGGCTGGGTAGTTTGAAGAAGTTCAATTTTCCAAAAATTCACATAATTTTTAGTCACAGAATGACGAAGCCCGGTCCTGCCGGCAGGACGCTTTTCGCTTTATTTAAGAGACTGCCTCGCCCAGGTTTATAAATTTAAAGACTCGATATTTACATCATTTGAAAGCTTGTTTCATTACCTTTCCAGCGATATATTTAGTTTTATATTTATCTGCTTCCATATTAATTTTATAGAGCAATTTCGAAGGGACTCACGCCTGAGTCTATACTCAGATATACTGAACAATATTAAAAATGAATTTTTTTTTAATTGAACAATTAGGTTTCATTCTTTGAACGTTTTTGAAGAGAAAGAGACTTGTCCGGTCAAAAAATATTGATTTTCGGGGATATTACATTAAATTTACGAAAAAATGTTTTTTTCACTGTTTAAAAACATAGCAAGTTTAAAGGCTTTGAAAAATGGTTTAAATTATTATTTTAAAAAGTCAAAAATATGGATTTTTTCGTCTTTTCGTCTACTTTAATCCCAAGGAGTGCCAGAAAAGAAAAGTTGAATTCCCTTTTTTTAAAAGCCTTTTTTTCGGAACGTCCTTCCGGCAGGACGGGCGTTTGGACGATTTATCATTAATATTATTAAACGAAATAAAATTTATAACATAATATTATGATTAATGAACTCAGAAAATCATCGAGTTTCACATATATGAAAATTAGATTTTTTAAAAATATGTTCGCAACGACTCTCAGACGAAAGTCAGTGGACTTACCCTACTACTTATTAGTAAAATTTACTTATTTTGTAAAAGGGAGCGTTCACAAATGTCACGCAATTTTGTGAGATTTTCCAACCCCGCCCCCCCCCCTCCCCATTTGTCACGCAATTTCATGCAATTTCACATGTGAAAAATACATTGTTTCACGTTTAATAGAGACCTCCCCTTTCCCTCAAAATCGTGACATCATTTGTGAATGTTTTCAAAGCAAAAAGTCAGCCACTAATTTAAATTAGTAAACATTTTTAGTGTCACAGTAGATTATGAAGTATTAAAAATCGTTGCAGATTAAATTAACACCAAAAAAGATTAAAATAATCCACTTTGGTGTTATTTTTTACTATGAATGAAATTTGACTTCAATTCAAAACCAAGCCAACGATTTGTCAAAGAAAGCCAAAGCGACTCATAGTCAAAGTCTTGGTCTAAATCAAAGTCTTAGTTTTAATTAAAGTTTTATTCAAAGTCTTAGTCTAAGTCAAAGTCTTGGTCTAAATCAAAGTCTTAGTTTTAATTAAAGTTTTATTCAAAGTCTTAGTCTTATACGTAGTCTGTGACTATATGATTTTGACTAAGACTTTGACTTTGTCTTTCAATAAGATTTTGAATAAGACTCTGACTAAGACTTTGACTAAGATTTTGAATAAGACTCTGAATAAGACTTTAAATAAGGCTTTAAATAAGCCTTTGATTATAAATTTTACCAAGACCAAGACTTTGACTTAGACTCACTTTGACTTTCTTTGACAAATCGTTGATTTGGTTTTGATTTGAAGTAAAGTTTCATTCATAGTCAAAACTAACACCAAATTGGATTATTTTAATCCTTTCTGATGTTAATTTCATCCTAGTGGGATTCAACTGTTGCAGATTATTTTAATCCATTCTGGTGTTATTTTAACACCTCACGATTTACTGTGGTATTTTTATTCAGTTAATTATTATTAATTTTAAATAAATTTTACCAATAAAATTACCTACTGTACTAATAAAATTCAAAAGCTAAAAGTCAGTCACTAATTCATATTAGTAAACATTTTTACTAATTAAAATTTAGAGAGTACTCCCTAACATATCGAATTAGTCACTTTTGACTAATTCAACAGCAACAATTAAATAAATTAGTAACAGTACTAATTAATTTTTAATAAAAAATGCTATTTAAATCTGAATCAGTAAAATTCTACTGAAGATCAGTGAAATTTGACTGATTTTCAGTGACTTTATTCTTTTAATTTGAATTAGTGGAATATTTCACTGAAAATCAGTTGAAAATTACTGAAATATCTGTCATTTTTCACTGATTGACCAATTAAAAAATTACTGAAAATTTATGTTAGGCACATTGAAAATTTCAGTTATTTTTTAATTGGTTAATCAGTAAAAAATGACTGAAATTTTAATCATTTTTAACTGATCTTCAGTGAAATTTCACTGATTCAAATCGCGAGAATAGAATCACTGAAAATCAGTCAAATTTCACTGATTCAGTATTAGAGAGTGACTAATTCATTAGTTAATGTAATTTTAGGTTCTGTTAAATAATAAAAAAAATTAGTAAGTTTATGTTTACTTATTATTTTAGTGACTTTTTTCAAATAATTAATTGAATTTGATTGTTTAATTAGATGTTTTCTTATCATAATTAGTTTTTTTTTACTAATCAGAATAAGGCCAATTCGTTTATGGTTTTACTAGTAAATCATTAACTTTTCTACGATTTCAGATTTAGAGGGTACACTAATTTAAATTAGTAACTATTTTCATGATGATTTTGAGTAATTTAACACTAAAATCTGACTAAAAGTTGAGTAAAAAAGTGTATTACCTATTATTAAATAAACATTTACTTGAATTTTTTTATTTATATATTTCTATTTTTGTATTTTTATTTTCAAAATATATTATTTGTTTCAAGTAAATATTTTTTAAGCTGAGTATTAACTATTAAGTTTAATTAATTTATAAATATTAAGTAATCGATTATTTTATTTAAATAAATTTGTTTCTGTGTTGAGTAAACGATATAAACTGCCAAACAAAATAGTAAATTTTTTGCTAAAAACACAAAATTAGATTTAGAAAAATGTGGAAAAAGTTAAATTAACAAACAATATTTATGCAATAAAATAACTAAACTAATTATTGAAATTAATGAAATTATCAATTAAATTTTGTTATTTAATTACTGAGAATTATATCGAGCATTATTTTGAGAATTACAAAGCTGAATTTTTTGTAAATTTTGGTATTAAAAAACTTTGATAGAAAATTAATTATTTTAAATTATTCCTAATAGCTAATTAAGTTATCTTAAAAAATTAAATAATTGAACTTGATGTAAAAAACTAAATGTGAATTTAACTAATAATTAATCATTATTAACTATTTCATTAGTATAAAATAATATTATCCTACTCATTAAATAAGTGACTGACTTTTTATTATAAAATTAGTTATTTTTAACTAATTCAAATTAAGAAAGAATTAAACACAAAGAAATTAATTAATTCAATAAAATTAACTAA